GATGACACAAGTTCAATTACAACAACAATTACTGCAAACAATATTTTTTGCGATGATGAAATAAACGACGAAGACACAGTGTGTAATAGTGATGATGATATATATTATAAAATATCAATTTGTTCAACTGAAAATGACGAAGTGAATCAAGAAATAGACGAAACTCGTATAGAGGTGCGTGTGTATTACGTAACTACGAATTCTACATTACCTATATATTTTTTATATTATATTGTATATATTTTTTTATGATGACATTTTTAATTCGATTTGAGGATCTCCGAAGAACTAATAATCTCAATACGACTAAGGATTTCGATTGTTGTAGAACACCAGGGGCAATTTATCACAATCTTCGAGCTATAACCATAATAACCATATCGACTAAATAGCAAGTTCAATAGATTTAAGTATTTACATAGGTTTTATTTTACATTCTATAAATGTTATAGTTGTTATACCTACATAAAGACGACATTAGATATGACATAATTGAATAATAAATTAGAAATTACAATATATAAATAAATTATACCAATTAGCACATAAGTAATTTTATTATTTAATGTTAATTGATATGAATAAATCCTATAATCCTATATTATGAATGTATTACAGTAATATTACTAATATTATATGGGGTCCTATAATTATATCAGAATTCTGTGCTGCATTCCTCCAGGCCATCCCTCCCACCCCACCCCAAACCTAAGTATAACTTTGCGTCAGGCAATAATAATGGTGTACACTGTGTACAGTCTTATAATTTAAATGAACAACCAATAGCTAACTACGCTTAATGCTTTAGTCATTATCTCTACATAAATTATATTTGTTACTTTAACAGTTGATGGGTAAATAAAATTCCAGGAAGCAGAGCCTTTGCCTACATAATTCCTATACTATATATGGATCCAACATTTCAACACTGTTTATAGTCGTGTGAGGTAGTTATACAGTTGAAAGATCCTGCCTATTAAATTTAAGTACCTACTAAATATTTATAAAAAATATTAACTTATAAAATATTAACGACTAATAATACATACATAGGTTTGGTACAAAAAATTATCAGCTCTTACCATATTATTATATAATGAATGTGAAGTT